GAGGTTTCTCCCCCCTGCTCACCCCCCCCCCCGGTCACCAGCCAAGTCCCACCAGGCACCCTGGGCTGGGGACCTGTGTCCCCTTGCACACAATCCAACCCACCAGCCCAGCAGAGAGAACATCCCATCTCTGTGAGCTGAGCCTTGGCCTCTGGTGCACAACACAAAACCTCAGCTGTGCAAGATGCTTTTCCCGAAACAAGGTGGCGTTTGTTGGCATCTGGACGTGGAAGCAGAGAGGACAAGTTGGAGATCACATCTGCAAACACCGTGGTGGTGCTCAGGGCCCCTTATGAAATCCATGAAAGCACCTGTGATCCTGGCAGAGGCTTCATTCTGGAAATCTCTGTATCCTCAGAAGCTGCAGCCTCCACAGCAGCCCTTGCAATGCCAAGCAGCTGAAGCTTTCCCTTCAAAGCAGTTTGCAAATGCAAAAAAAGCAGAAGTAACCCCTGGGAGTTTTGAGGTGTGGCCAGCAATGACCCCTTTTGACTTCTGGAGTGGAGAAGCCAACAGGCTCTGTCTGTATCCTGGCTTCTCTGTTTATCAAATCAAAACAGGCAGCAGGCAGTTGCTGACGCTGCTTTGCATAAATCAGAAGATCCAGCTTTGTGGCCCTTACTTGGGGCATTTCCTATAAAAAGCACATCTGTGGCCATACTCTTTGATGCAATACACTTTAGCCTGGAAGCAAAAGCTCGCAAACAATGCCAAATTCTTGCTGATTGGAGTAGATTCCAAGGGAAAGAAGAGTTGGGAAAGCACCTACTTAAGTACTGACTAAGGATATTATCTCTGATGTGAATCTAGCCTCTGTGTGTGTTACTGTTGAGTACACAGTGCGGTTTCAGACATGGCCAGGGACAAGAAAAAATTATTGTTTCAGGGTAACCACAAGGAAGATGAATGCAAATATATTCCTGTAACTGGGAGAGTTCCCTTGCTCCTAAGTTGGGCTCTGGTACATGGCCTCAGGGGGGCAGATTTGCAACTACCTTCATCAAATTGTTTAGGAATGATTAATTAAAAGTCAGAGACATAAATTTTTTGCACAGAGGGAAATGTTACTGCAATTCCTGCAGTGATGTACAGTCTGTAAAGGTGGCTTCAGTGAGC